GCGGGACTTGGAAGATCCTGCCTTTGTCTGTGACTGACAAGCACATGCACCAATCAGGTGCAGCATGACGTCACGCCGAGGACTGGGAGGAGGTGGCTGCCACCTGCGTGAGGCTGGCGGCAGGGTTTGCTGTGCCGACTGCAGGTGTGGTCCGCTTAGGGTTAGCGTTGGGAAGTCTCTTGACTTCCTATGTTGCTTATGAGTGCTGATAAGAGGAAACTTATAATTAAAGGGTAGATTTTCAGCCCCAAATCAAAAGTTGAAATTTTAACATGTCACTATGGAGTGGTCTGGGGGCAAGGTCGCCCTCAGGTATGCAGGTGCCCACACATATTTCTAAACGTTGGAAAGTAGAATTGCCCTAACGGGATAGGACGTTTTCATCTCTACGAGGTTGTTTAAAACTTACGCAAATTAACGTCACTAATTTTTCATTCGAGTGAGAGGAGGAGAGGAACAATAAAATGCTCTATTATGCCTCACTATCAAGGGAATGGTATTTTAAGTCTGCAAAATAATTATGTCAACTTTTAAAACGTGGATCAGTTGCTATTCTCTGAGGGATGCAGTGGGGACGTTCACCCTAAAACTGTTTAAAAGAAATGAAACACTGTCAATATAATTCGAACAGGAATTTAACGCAAGTATTGCATTGCAGCACAATCTTGGAAATTAAAAGGAAGATATAAATCCGAATTGAAATTTGGCAAAGTGTTATTTATCATATAGCTTTATTAAAAGATATTTGAAAGACTTTATAATCGCCTAGTCAAAGTCTAATATTTTTAAATGGTGTCTAATTTAAAAAACAAACAAGTTTTAGATGAATTTTTAGTGTTAAGCTCTATTCAAAAACACTTAAAAATAACAGTTTAGAGATAAGGGAGGAAGATTTTTAAATTCTTAATTCTAATAGTCTAATGAATTACAGTAGAGGAAGCAAAGGTGGAACTTGAACAATGCGTATTCTTATTTTAAAGTAGGCTGAATGAAAGGGGAGGAATAAGGCATCAAGGAACTGGGATAAGGGCAGTAGGGATAAAAAAAAATTCCTTTGACCTGTCCCTAGGGAGCCTCTTAATTAGTCTTTCATTTCTAAAGATTGCCAGGCATGACAGGGTCTTGAGAAATCTTTTCTGTTCCCTTGTTCACAGCAAGCTATACAATTTCCAATCCAGCCTACATCTAGAGATATCCAGAAAAAAGATTTCACAATATATAATCCCATATTGAGCAACCTTCTCATTCAAGACACTCGTCCCCCTATCTGACGGAAAGGCATGATTCTTTGAAATGTTAGCATCTTTTCTTTTCTTGTTAAGAAGAGAATAATTGTAATGCGTTAATTAGAAGTTTTTATTATATAACAAATTAACAACTAGTTCAGGCCGTTTATTTTAATCTATGAAGATGGTGTGTGGGGGCTGTGTGTGTGTGTGCATCCCCCCCTCCCCAAATATTTAGGATATTGGTATGAAACACATTTGGAACATGTTTTGTATCATACAAGAATACAATCTTTAATAAACCAGGTACTGCTTATTTCTTTAGGTGCCATCACTCTTTTTGAAATTTCAAATTTTACTTGTTTCCTTGACCTCCTAATGTAGAATTAATTGAAAGACATTTGATTTATATACAGGTTTCCCCAATATCCAAAGGTAGAGCTTTCTTATCAAACCTTTCATAAGCCGAATGGGGCAAAGCCAAGGCGCAATTACCATTAATGTATGTGGAAATATTTTTGAGCATTCCCAAATCCCAAAATAATCTATCAGACCATACCACACATGCTTAATTACCTCCAGTTTTAAGCTAAGCATAACACCCTTACTAGTTCTCTTGGGCTTTCTGATACCTTAGGACACATCTTGCTAACAGATGCACAAAGTAATTCTGTGCTTCCACTTATATCTTAGCATCAATAATACTTAACACTGATAATACTTGGAGTTTAACTCTTATGCAACAGTTCTTCTTTCTAGGGGCCACTAATTCCTTCCTAATGCCTATTATCTCCAGTTTGGGGAAAAATTAAATTTTCTTCTATTTATTTTAAACAAGAGTCTGCAGACTGAAAAGATGTGGATTTCATTGGGCTCACTTTAAATAGAAATATATAGGTAGTAATGTATAACAAACATATAATGAAAGCTGTAAAATTTAGAAATGAAATAAAGGAAATAATTTGCCTTTTGTAGAAGACTACAGTTTATAAAGTGAGTTGCTGAAAAATCTTCCGCTTGGCAGAAATCAAAGTGTTTGTTGGTGTTGGCATTAGCAAGAGTTAGAAATATTATCCTGCAAATTTTTGCCCTTGAGAGGATAGAAACAATAGTTGAAATGTAGGCTACCTACCTTATCAATAAAAATGTTCTTTATGAAGAGATTTAAAAGCACAACTCTATAGCTCCAGCCAGTGTTGCTCAGTTGGTTGGAGTGTGGCAAAGTACACTGAAAGTTGTGGGTTTGATTCCTGGTCAGGGCACATACCCAGGTTGCCTTGGTTGGGGCACATGCAAGAGGCAACCAATCAATGTTTCTCACATCGATTTTTCTCTCTCTTACTCTCCCTCTCCTTCTCTCTCTAAAATCAATAAAAACATGTCCTTGAGTGAATATTTTTTTTTAAAAAAAGTACAACTCTATTAGTGTCCAGCCAAATGTCTGAGATGTTAAATGTGCTCAAGAGATTTTTGTTCAATTTATGGTAGTACAAATTTTTCCTAATGCAGAAAACAAAAAATACATGTTATTTGCCTTCTCTGGCTCCCTATGACCTGTTGGGTAAGTCCAAGTTCCTTAGAATGGCAACTAAGGCTATTCTCATGATTTAGCCTTTGCCTAAATTTCCAGCCTCATTTTCTACCATAAACCATCTGGTGCTTAATACTCCTGAAACTGTTTTTACTTCAAAGCTTTACTATTTTTTGCCTGCATGTTTTTACATTTATATCCTTGCCTTTTGTCTGCTTGGGAAACTCCTATTCCTCCTTCAAACTCCAACTCAGAAGTCTTTCCTCATATTCCTTCTCATAAAGATTTTATCTTTTCTGCTAACCTGTTTCTACAACTAGTATATACTTTCATTATTGTACTTATCACATTGATACTGAAATTTATTTGATTACAAATCTGTCTCCCCATTAACTATGGACATTTTTATGTATCATGTTTGTGTACTTAAGGCTTAGCAATTTCTGGCAGAGTAATTTTCTCAGTATATGCTTGTTGAGCTAAACTTATTTGCCTATCTAAGGTAAACAGATTTGTAAAACAGAAAAAAAAATGTTTCTACTCTTGAGGTGAAATTGTAATACATAGTAAGGATGTTATAAGTAATAAAGCATGTCTGTTTTTCCTCTTCTGGAATACCAAATTCAATGTGATCACATTTTTCTTAGTGAATAAATACAGCTGGCTTCCATAACCATTATAATGAATGATAGGCATACAAATTAATTATACTTACTCTATGCCAGCCTGATCAGCATTGGAGGTACAAAGATGAATTGGACAAGGAGTCTCAGAGAGCTCCAATTCTAGTGAGCTCGGCATACATGTAAACAAACAATCTATATATATATATATGGCTAAGTGACCGACTGCCTGTCTGTCCAACCGACCGACTGGCTGGTGCATATGATGGGCACTGGCAATTTAAAAATAAACGTTGACTCGCACATTTAAATAAACTGGCCTCTCATTTAAATTAATTCAAAGACAGTTTCCAGTGATGCCAACATTTGCAATGACTATTAATAAATTGCAAGAACAAATTCTAGACAAAGTAGGAATATTCCTACCCGAACCCGTTTTCGAACATGGTCAGTTATATGTTGCTTTCTCTCAAGTTCGAAGAGCGTGTGATGTTAAAGTTGTAAATACTTTATCCAAAGGAAATTAGTCAAACACTCTGAAAGTGTTTTTACTCTTAATGTGGTGTACAGGGAGATATTAGAAGAAGTTTAATCACTTTATTAGTCATTGTTTGCATCACTGTTGTTTTTATATCATGGTTTTGTTGGTTTCTTATCATG